GATCCATTAATATGCTGCCTGCAAGAGACTCATTTTAGACCCAAAGACACCTCCAGATTGAAAGTGAGGGGGTGGAAAACCATTTACCATGCTAATGGACATCAAAACAAAGCTCGAGTGGCAATCCTTATATCAGACAAATTAGATTTTATTTTATCTATTTATTTATTTATTTAATCTTTTTTTAGATTTTATTTATTTATTTGACAGAGAGAGACAGTGAGAGAGGGAACACAAGAAGGGGGTGTGGGAGAGGGAGAAGCAGGCCCCCGGCTGAGCAGGAGTCCAATGCGGGGCTCAATCCCAGGACCCTGGGATCATGACCTGAGCCAAAGGCAGACGCTTAATGACTGAGCCATCCAGGCGCCCCGACAAATTAGATTTTAAACCAAAGACTATAATAAGAGATGAGGAAGGACACTACATATACTTAAAGGGTCTATCCAACAAGAAGATCTAACAATTGTAAATATTTATGCCCCTAACATGGAAGCAGCCAATTATATAAGCCAATTAATAACAAAATTAAAGAAACACATCGACAATAATACAATAATAGTAGAGGACTTTAACACCCCCCCTCACTGAAATGGACAGATCATCTAAGCAAAAGATCAACAAGGAAATAAAGGCCTAAATGACACACTGGACCAGGTGGACTTCACAGATATATTCAGAACATTCCATCCCAAAGTAACAGAATACACATTCTTCTCTAGTGCACATGGAACATTCTTCAGAAGAGATCACATCCTAGGTCACAAATCAGGTCTCATCCAGTACCAAAAGATTGGGATCATTCCCTGCATATTTTTGGACCACAATGCTTTGAAACTAGAACTCAACCCCAAGAGGAAAGTTGGAAAGAACTCAAACACATGGAGGCTAAAGAGCATCCTACTAAAGAATGAATGGGTCAACTAAAGAAGAATTAAAAAAATTCATGGAAACAAATGAAAATGAAAAAACAACTGTTCAAAATCTTTGTGATACAGCAAAGGTGGTCCTAAGAGGAAAGTATACAGTAATACAAGCCTTTCTCAAGAAACAAGAAAGGTCTCAAATACAAAACCTAACCCTACACCTAAAGGAGCTGGAGAAAGAACAGCAAATAAAGCCTAAAC